TGGGATCCTGACCTGAGCCAAAGTAGCTGCTTAACCAACTGAGCCACCCACGCGCCCCTGGCTCTTAGATTCTTTGCTATACAGCGACGGGCCGGAACAAGGCTGGTTGTCCTCACATTTTGCCACAGCTAGTGGAATCACGTGGCGGGCTTGTTCAAACAGGCTATAGGGCCCCACCTCTAGAGTTTCTGATGCAGTAGGTCGGGCTAAGGTCTGAGAACAGTCATCCCTAACTAATGGCCCATGATGCTGACGCTATTCATCTGGAGAACACACTTCAAGAACCACGGAACCGAACGCTCTCAACTTTGCCATCCCGGTTCTGAAGTCCCTGGTGCTATAACCCAAGTGATGAACTCTGCTTAGTTGAAACTTTCATTGAGATAATTATACATTCACATGCATTGTAAGAAAAACACAGAGAGCCCTTGTACCATTTACCCAGTTTTCCCCAATGGAAACCTCTTGCAAAACTATCATGCAATATCACAACCAAAATATTACTATGACCCACCAATCCTCTTCAGATTTCTCCAGTTCTCCTGTACTCCCCGTAGGTATGTCTGTTGAGCTGTACGGGATTTTATCATATGTGTTGCTTCATGCATCCAGCACAACAGTTCAGAGAGAACAGTTCCATCACAGAATACGTGACAAAACAAATGACCGAAGCTAGCTCTTCACTTGGGTTAAGAATATTTACCAGGTTGGCAACACTGTGATCTCTCCACCCGGGTTGCTAACACACAAGGTGAATGCCTTTCCTTACTCCCTGCATGCCATCAGCTGCAACTGCTGACATGTGCACAACTAAACCCACCTTTGCTTCCTTAACTCTTGTATATTTGCTCAATATTTTCCCACCTTCAGCACACGGTTTTTGCTCTCATGTGGTACACACAGGCCCTATACTCACATCTCTGTGAGTACAAACATGTGCAAGGATGTACCATATTTGCCTAAATTGAGTTGTCTCTGGGAAGGTGGTTGGGGTAAAACCAAACCATACTTCTGAAGAAGCTGTGCAGTTTGAGAAACTCCAAGGTGACTCCTCTTAGAAAGCAGTACTATCATTATATATTGTTTTTAAAAGTTTGAACTTGGAATTGGCAATTAACTGGGTACCCACCCCCATAACTATTAACATTCAAGTAATATTTTTATTTCTAAGACTGTAATGTTCTTTATTTGCATTCCTTACCATTGGAATAGCTAATGTAGATATCTTAAATTGTGATGCTTGACCAATATTACAAAGGAGACAAAAGGTTAGAACTTGAATGAGTCTTATGAGTACAAATAAAGCCACGTGTCCATGCAGAAAAGTCCCATACCAAGCCAAAACAGTACAGAAGATGTACTTAAAGCTTCAAATTTTTCAGGGTTTTCTTTTCCTTTCTATCATACAGTGGTACATCAGCAAAATGAACTCCAAAGGCAACATACTCTACTTTTGTTTATGTAACAGAAGTTTTCTAAAGCAAATTTTTACCTATCAAATTCATCTTCACTGTACTGGACCTTTCATCCTTTTGTAAAAGATGTAAATGCTAAAACTGATCTCCTTTGTTAGATTTGAGGTAGATCTTCTCATATTTAACCTCTACTAAATGTAGAAGAATCTTAAGGTATAACATACCCACATATACATACATTCCTGGAGAGTTCAAGTATCAGTCTTGTACTGTTAGATCATAAACATGTTTCCTATGTAGTGGAGTCCACAAAACATGCGTAACTTACTATTCAGCGTGTTACTGACACAGAAGGGGTATCACCTGACCATTCTCCTGTCTGTTATCATGACCTGTTTCCTGGGGCTGCTATAAAAAATACAAGTCCTTGCGGCGCCTGAGTGGCTCATTGTGTTAAGCCTCTGCCTTCGGCTCAGGTCATGATCCCAGGATCCTGGGATCCAGCCCTGCATGGGGCTCTCTGCTCAGCAGGGAGCCTGCTTTCTCTCCCTCTGCCTGCCTCTCTGCCGACTTGTGACCTCTCTGTCAAATACATAAATGAAATCTTAAAAACAAGTTCTCATACTTACAGAGGAACCTCCCCACTGTGTTTCCCTAGTAGCAGACTCCATATTTGCTAGTTCAGTATTCACGGAGACTTTAGAGAACGTAACTACTGTGAATATTGAGAACTGACTGCATCTTAAGTCCTGTCCTCGGTGCCAAGTCCCAGGTCTGTACATACTGGGTATGGCCTGCTGGGTATCTGGGTGAGCCAAAATGCTGCGAATTCAACTTGTGCACAAATGTAGCCAGTATCTTCCTTATCCCCCTGCCCGGTCTACTCCTTCTAGCTCCTCATCTTCAGTCCCTTCTCCCCAGAATAACACCATCAATGACCTGACTCCTGAAAGGAAAACCTTAGAGATCATGTTGGAGTTGGTTTCTTCATGTTCCAGATTGCCAATACTGGACTCTCTTATCTCTGGATTCCTTTCATTCTACTCATTCCCTGTGCCACTGTCTTATTTCAGTCCTCTCTGAACCTCTACCTTGAGGGATGAAATCAGCCTACGAATTGACCTCCCTGTCCAATTCTTGTCCCATCTCCAGCCCACTGCGACAGAGATTCTCCTCAAGGCACTGGTTTTATTAGTTTCTGCCCAGAGTACATTGTTTTTGCCCGAATCTGCTTTAACAGAGTCCGACTTTTTCCCTGACTTGGCTCTCTCTCCTTTCCATGCATTTCTTCACAGTGCTGTCAGCGATCGTTCTAAAACACAAATCCTATTGTGTCATAGGGTCTGCTTTCCTACACCTCTCTACCACATCCACTATAAAAGCCCTATAAAGTTCTAGATGATCAGGCACAATCTCTCTGACCTCCTGGTTCCCCCTTGTCATTCCACATCTGTTAACACTGGCTTCCTTACTAGCCCTAAAATGTATCACACATATTCCTGCCACAGGGCCTTTGCACCTTCAGTTCCCTCTGCCCGAAACAGTCTTTTCACAAGTAGCTGTAAGGCTAAAGAATTCACAAAAAATCATTCTGCTACAACGTCTTTTCCTCAAAGAGGCTCCCATCTTCCCCATGTAAAATCACACTCTTCTCAGTTTACTCTCTACCCCTTAGCCTGCTTTTTCTTCCCAGATTCCTTAACCACTGACTCTACATCTACATATATTAGCTTTTGTCCATGTGCTCCCTATGAAACAAAAACTATGAGAGTGAGGACGTGGTGTCCTTTACTTCTCTGTCCCCAACACTTACAATAATGCCTAGTATATGGCTGGTACTCAAGTATTTGTTAAATGGACAAATACATGCCTAAAATCTATATGTGGCTCTATAATAGCCTTAAGGATAAGCTCTGAATCCCTTAATATCTCTCCTCTGCCTCTGGCGTCATCTGCCTTCACCCTCTGGTTTAAACCATACACTCACAGCTCAGGTAAAGAACCTATGTTTTCTAGAAGCTTCTTGTTACTCAGTTTTAAGTGCCTTTCGCCCTCTCTACCTCTTTCCTTTTTGTCTTGCCTAAACCCTGTGGGGCTTCAAGACAGCTCAGGCTTAGCTCCTTGCAAAAACCTTCCTCAGGGGCCTGCACCCTCTCTGGCAACCAGTTCCATGCACGCCCACTGTGCTCACCACCTTCTACTCCAATGGGTCCTTAACTTCTCTGCCTTACGGCTACACCCAGCTCCTTGGGGGCAGTGCCTTCACCTAATTCATCTTTGTACTCCCAGACAGTCGGTGTCTAGTATATGCTCAATAAAATACATGAAGTGGAACAGTCCTTTAAAAATAATATATAGCTGGTAGTTATAAAAGGCCTTGAAATTCAAACAAATCTATGCCACTGATGTACCATACGAGTGTAAACAACTGACATTGTTAAGGAGGTGAGTCACTGAAGGGAGTGTTTTCTAACAATTTCCGTGAACATCGAAAATGCGGGTCACAGAATATAAGAATAAGAAAAGAAGTTACTATAAGCAAAATGAAGTATAGTCAGGGAGGGTTTGTTAGGTGAGGAACAAAACTGAGTTTTATGAGGGATTCTAGACATTACTAACAGATAAAGTTTAACTGTACTAGTTTCTCTATGATTTATATAATATGCTCCAGAGTAAGCTAAAAACGTTGATGTTAAAGACCAGTCTCCCAATGGACTTACATATTTAACATATAAATGGGAAAAAAATGAACTAAGATCAAAGATCTCGAACAATTCTCAAAAAAATTATAATAACAGAAACCTAACGATCCAGTAAGTTACTGTGTAACTGCGATTAACCTCAGACTCCAAGCACGTGCCACAGAGAAGAAACAGCTGCAAAGGATGTCATTTCAACAAATCAGTAGACGTTAAAAAACAGTATCCAAACATAACCCTGTAGATATGTTAACTAAAATCTCTATATTGTTTTTACAAATAAAATACTGGTTTCAATTAGAAATGGCCAGGAATTGACCTCATTTTTTATTTCAACACTGTCCCAACCCCTTACAAACACTATCCTGAAAATGATGTCATCCCTGCTACAATCCCATTACTGAGGGTCTTTGGATAATAGCCAGCCTTCGTGGAGAACATACTGTGTTTAATCCTCACAGTAATTCTACAGGGTAGTTAATATTCTCTCTCTTTTGTTGTTGTTGTTGTCTAGATGAGGAAACAAGACACTACAGAAGTTCATGAACTTGCTCATGGTAACACCAATGCAAAGCCAGGAGTTTTTAGTCTGTAGACAGCAAAGCTCACTTTGGGGAGAAAAAAAAAAACCCAAAAATCACGAAAGAACACCACAACCAAAACATTAATCCTGACAGCCAGTGGAATATTTAACTTGAAACTATCATAACAAATCTTTCCATAGCATGAAATCACTAAGACTGTAGCAGTAGCCACTGGCAACATGGGTCCGTTTCTTCTCTGCTCTGTGACACATGGAATTACCATCTAGTCATATCTTCTCATTGGCAGCCTCTGGAGAGAAATGTTTAAATAGCCTAAGCCCAGGTCTAGTGCACAGACTTACCTAAGCTTGACCTTGTATTGGATCTTTCTATTATTGCATGCTTGCTGGGATTGTTTAACACAGAGCGCTTGGCGAGCGAGATGTCAGCCGTGACCCTTGTGATGGATATCCTGTTGGAGGAACACGTAACAGAAGACTCTGAGGTTATTAGCCGAATACCAGGGGATAGAAATACATTCCCCAAACTCACTTAAGTTTGAAATGCATAGTGAACAGTATTTTCAAATGAAAAGATGTTAGGGCACCAAATCCTTCATTTCTGCTTATCCCGCACCTCCTTACTCGGCATTTATCGTTTGCTTACCAAGTACTAAGCGCTGTATATCTCACTGAATTATCCCCCCAACACTAGCAGAGAGGCTTCTTATAGTCCCACTTTTGCTGATGAAGAAAATGAGCCAAATATTCATCCAAGGCTGTCTACGTCTAAAAGGGGGAGCTGGGGCTTGAACCCAGGTTCCCAAAAACCTGTATTCTTAGCCCCTTCGTCGGGAGTGTGGTGCTGTGATAGGCACAAAGAATGAATAAGAACAAGACAAACACGGTCTTTCCTCAGAGAGAGAAGAGTCTAGTGGAAGAGATGGGCAACAGATAAGAACACTACTTGGTAAAATCACTAAAGCTCAAGATGGCTGCTGTGGAGAAGACGGTATTGTGTCAGGTGGTAAGTTATTGCGGGGGGAGTGCATTTTTAGGTGTGGTAGAAATGAGAGCATTTACTGTTACCAGTAAAATGACTTATAGACCACAGAGAGCCAAATATACAATAGGAAAAGCTGGGGGGTAAAACAGAAGCCTCACAATACCTTTGAAGGCAATGGTAAAAGGGATACTAAAGGTTTGGTGAAAAGTCTGTTTCCGAGTTAGAGCCCTCCGCCTCCCCTCTAATTCCATGAAGTTGCCAGGGGATGCTCGATAGAAGATGGCTAGTTTATTCTCTACAGGTAATCACACGCAGGGCCCGTGACCAGGAGACCCTACGCAGAGTGAGGACAGGGCCACTAGATGGAAAAGAAAGGATTCTAAATGGGGAGCCCTCAGCCTCTTGCCCATCTTACAATTTTGATAGCCAGGCTTACATCCTCCAGGGATTAAAATGGAAGCTCTTGGGGCACCTGGGTGGCTCAGTGGGTTAAAGCCTCTGCCTTTGGCTCAAGTCATGATCCCAGAGTCCTGGGATCGAGCCCCACATTGGCCTCTCTGCTCAGCCGGGAGCCTGCTTCCTCCTCTCTCTCTGCCCGCCTCTGCCTGCTTGTGATCTCTGTCTGTCAAATAAATAAAATTAAAAAAAAAAAAAAAAAAAAAAAAAGGAAGCTCTTTCCCTGGGACATCTGACCTGAGGAAAAAGGCCAAAAGGAAGAAGACTACAAAATAGTAACCCCGGAGGTTTCCTATGGACATGGCCTGGTGAGGTTGTCCTATAGGGAAGCACCAAGCCGACAAGCTTCACCTACGAGTATGGAATTTCCAAGTGATTACGTGATGTTCTATTTTTAAATTGGAGCGCTGTGGTGTTCACTGAGCATCTTAGAAAAACCTCTGAAATGAAAGCCCAGACAGAAAAATCAATAAATGAAGAATACAGCTGACTCCTGCAACAACGTGCGGGTTAGAGGCACTGACTTCCTGTGTAGTCAGAATCCACCATGAGCTTTGGGCTTGACTGCTAGCAGCCTACTGTTGACTGGAAGCCTTACCAATCACCTCAACAGTCTATTAACACATATTCTGTATCTTACATATGCTATACACTGTATTCTTACAACAATATATAAGTTGTTCTTAAATTTTCCAGTATTTCTAGGTGGTTCACTGGCAAGGTTTTTCAGATTGTTACAATCCTCCCCCCAATTTTCCAATATATTTATTGGAAAAACAACAACAACAACAACAACAACAAAAACCCTCCTAGAAGAGGAGCCACACAGTTCAAAGCCCTGTTGTTCAAGGGTCAACTGTATTTCAAGTTGAAAGCTAAGACATTATTATATCTGTGAAACTGTAACAAATTTCTATTTAGAAACTCAGAATGAGTTTTTGGCAACCAAAAATGACAGAAAAATTCAAAAGAGAGCTGGGACATAAAGTTAAGAAACTCTAAAGGGTAAAACAAAAAAGGCAAAGACAGAGAACACAGAAGAAAACATATACAAATGAGAGAACCACCCAGGAGGTTCAACTTCCAAATAACACAAGAACTTCAGGAAAAAAGAGAATAACGAAAGCAGAGAAACTTAAAAAAAAGAAAAAAAAAAAAATCAATCCCAGGTCCCACACGGAGGGTCTGAAATGGAAGTTTTCTGTTCTTCTCAACATTGGAAGCCAGAAGAGAATGGGGCAGAAAGTTTTCAAAATCCTAAAGGGAAATTATTTCAATCAAAATTCTATAGCCATGGGGCGCCTGGGTGGCTCAGTGGGTTAAGCCGCTGCCTTCGGCTCAGGTCATGATCTCGGGGTCCTGGGATCGAGTCCTGCATCGGGCTCTCTGCTCAACGGGGAGCCTCCTTCCCTCTCTGTCTCTCTCTGCCTGCCTCTCCATCTACTCGTGATCTCTTTCTGTCAAATAAATAAATAAATAAAATCTTTAAAAAAAAAATTCTATAGCCATTAGTGGGCAGATGGAGCTCAGATGGTTAAATGTCTGCCTTCAGCTCAGGTCATGATCTCAGGGTCTTGGGATCAAGTGGCTCCTCTCAGCAGGGAGCCTGCTTCTCTCTCTCTGCCTGCCTCTCTGCCTACTTCTGCTCTCTGTCGAATGAAGGAATGAATCAATCAATCAATAAAATCGTAAAAAATAAATTCTGTAGCCATTTTAACTGTCAGTGAAATGGGAGGGTTGATGAAAGACACTTTTAGACATTCAGGGCCTCAAAAAGTTATGTACTTTTCTAGGGCAACTACCAGAGAATGCTGTTAACGGAAAGGACAGAGTAAAGCCCCAGATCAATGGATATAAGGAAAAGGGGCTCCAACCCAAGAGGAAGGCAAAAGGAATATCAAGAATAATGTTGAAGGATGTCCTGGAATGACAAATGTGCACCCGTCAAAGACAGAAACTGTCCAGACCAGAGATGGCCAGAATGCTCCCAGAGGTTCGAGAAGACAAAGGGGAGTGACAACAGGATGCATTTCAGGATACCATGAGGAGGTTCTGACAGCTGGGGGGTTCAGGGCTGAATTAATGCCAAACACAGAGGAAGTAAAGCAAGCGTAGAAAGGTATATTACTTATCTCAAGGAAAACACAGAAGACAGAGTCATTACAGTGTATACTACAGCTCATTGGCATATTATCCAGGGAGTCATAATACATACTAAGAAATGGAGCCACCTGAATACATCCTTCTCCCACATGCTTGGACCTTTCTGTGCGTGGTACTGCTCAGCTGAGAATCCACTGACCTGCTTCTCGCGTTAGCTCAGTAGGCTGTGTGAAGTTGGGTCACTATTTCAACTCCTACAGTTATGCTCTGGGAATTGTCACTACTTGGGGTTCCGCCAAAAAGGAGACCTTGATAATCCTAAGAGCAAAATTCTGGGGACAATACAGTTTGGAGTAGTGGGTTTTTCTTGTTGTTGTTGTTGTTTTTAAGATTTTATTTATTTATTTGACAGAGAGAGAGATCACAAGTAGGCAGAAAGGCAGGCAGAGAGAGAGGGGGGAAGCAGACTCCCTGCTGAGCAGAGAACCTGATGCGGGGCTCGATCCCAGGACCCTGGGATATCATGACCTGAGCCGAAGGCAGGGGCTTTAACCCACTGAGCCACCCAGGCGCCCCTAGAGTAGTGGTTCTTAACCCTCACAGTATGTATCAAGATCACCGTATCAGCTTTTACAGTTACAGGAGATCCTGCCTTGGAGATGTGGTTTCATCTGGTCACAGGTGGAACCCAAGCCCTTGTTGGGCTGGTGTTTTATTTTTAAAGTATTGCCGATGATTCTAATGTGCAGCCAGGCTAGATAACCACCAGTTTAGAGGTTGTCTCACATCTAAGCAAATTATCTACACAACAAAATAAAGTGATGTAATGTTACCCAGGATTATTGATTTCCAATAAGATTCCCTCGCAGAAGATTCAGCAGTGTACATATCCCTACAATTCCGTTCCCATTCCAGACACTTTAGTGCTGATAGCTGACATTTTCAGTCTCTGGGGAGGAAACCGAATTCATCACTGGTGGTAGCTTTCCTTCTCATCCTCAATTTCCTTGTTAATTTACCTGTCAGTGTCCTACAAGGGGAATGTGAATGTTGCTTTGTTTACATGACACAGCTGGTTAGGATGGGTCTGATTGTAAACGGGCTACTCTACTGCACACAAGAGAAAGACGATAATGATTTATCATCTATTCCTTGATCTGACAGCCAGGATCACGATTCTGACAACTCCCTAGGGCTTCAACAAATGAACTTAACTAGGTTTAGGAACAGAAAAGAACTCCCGTCAAGAATCTTTTTATTACCAACACCTCCTTTCATATTTTCTTCCCCTTGGGCTTTAAATTTTTAAAAATAAATTTAGTTTATTTAATAGATAATGAAGGAGTAATTCATTTCTCCCTTTTAAAATTACATGTATATGGAAGTACCTGATACTTTGGATCAGTTTCCTCCCCCTACTGCTACGAGAACCAAAGACATTTAATGATTCAGGTACTCTGGATGTCTTGCCATGGGTTAAAAAATTTTTGCATGGATTTTTTAAGTGTATCTTATGGGCCCTATTAATTCCTTTGAGGATCTTTAATTGGTGCTCTCAAGCCTAGAATGCTGAACTTGAGTTCTGAGTCAAATGAGCCAAGGCAGGTGCATTAATAAAGCCGTGGAAATTACTTCCGGCCAGAAAGAGCAGACTGACAACATTCAGATATTTTGTTCATTTTTTCCTTAAATGAAATCAATCTGGATGGGCCAACACTTTCAAACAGGGGTCCAAGACATGTTCTATGGCTGGAATCGGTCTTCCAAATTCAGAACTTAACTAGGTTTAAACAGTAAGGAAATGCCATCTCATTTTTCCATCTTTGGCATTTTGGAAAGCGCAGTGGGTTAACTCAGGGAAAGCACAGTGCTTTGTCTAGTAATTTTCTGGGTGTGTATGCTCAAGGAGACAACCCCAAATTAGGATAAATGACAGAGTCAAGCATAAAGAACTGAATGGTAAATGAGCCTAATCAGGGGTATGTCTTTTTCACGTGGCCAGTGCCAGACAGCCTTGGACCAAGCCAAACCCTGTGTTTTCCTGGCACAAACTAAAACATACTTCATAAAATTATGGAAAAAAAAAAAGTCAAATTAGGAACATTTGATTATGTGGGCCTTGTTTATATAGTCTTTTTTACACCTGGAAACATAATTTCTGCTTTCTTTTCCTGTCTCTTTCAGTCCTTTCCTTGTCCTGCTGTAGGTTTCCCCGTGTGGCCTTGGCTCCCCCACTAAAAGTTGATATAAATTACAAATGGCTGTAGGAGCAGGTGTGGTCAAGGAAGAAAGCAGTATACTTAGACATTTAAAAGAACACTGAAACCCACAGATACTATGTATTGTACTTGTATCCTTAGGATGTGAGAAGGACAGGAATGTAGAATAGAGACACCAAATGTGTCTTATTAAAAATACAGAAATATAGGGATGCCTGGGTGACTCAGTCAGTTAAGTGTCTGCCTTTGGCTCAGGTCATGATCTCAGGTCCTGGAATCGAGCCCCGCCTCAGGCTTCCTGCACAGTGGGAAGTCTGCTTGTGCCTCTCCTTCCCCTCAACTCCTCCCCCTGCCTGTGTGCACACTCCCTCTCAAATAAATATATATAATCTTTAAAAAACTACAGACATATAAACTAGTCCTGTATGCTACCCTTTGCTTAAATTTCGAACTTTCCATTTTAGACTCCTATCATAGCTTTGATGCTTCAGGAACCAGCTTAACTTTGACCACAGTGTCCCCAGATTCTCTGACTTAAGGTTTCCTTCCAATTAACTAGAAGTAAGCTCCATGAAGCCAAGACCCTTGCCTGACTTTTTTTCTTCACAATGCCCAGCACACAGAGTCCGCTCAATAAAATTTGCTGAAGCAAGCTGAAGGGGGAAGGGAAGAGAAGAAAAGGATTATGTCCAAGTGGATGAACATGGCACATGAGATACAGTCCTGGCTCTCTCACCACTTGCTCCTTGTCTAGAGACTTGCCTTGAGGACCTCTAAGGAGCTTGCCCGATTCCTTCACCCACTTAACACCCATTGACTGGCCCAACCTTTCTCTTTCTAATTCAAGTGAGTGAAATCTTAGCTACCTTTCTTAGATGGTAACATCCCTGTCAGTGTCCGTCCTTCCTCCTTTTACGCCATGTGCACCTTAGGGGCTGAGCTGCCCATTCCTTTACTTTGTAGTTTACCGCTCAAGGTTTCCATTGATGGTTGACACCAGAGGCCCACAAAGACAGTGAGTGGCTTCCCCATCTCTCCATTTCCAGAGGCCCACAAAGACAGTGAGTGGCTTCCCCATCTCTCCATTTCTTTAGCTGGAGGCGCACATGGGAGACGTTCATTCAGCCTCACCCACGTATTGTTCCCACTGAGCACAGTTCCAGGCATTGAGAACACAAGAGTTTACAAAGCAGATAGAAAAAAAAATGCAAAAAAAATCTGCCCTCATGGAGTTTACATTCTGACTGTGGGAGAATGACAACAAAGTTCATTAATAGAATATATAAAAGAGTTATGGAAAAAGTCAAGGATGGGAAAGAGAGAATGTGTGTGTGTGTGTGTGTGTAGTGTAGTGGGTATTTGTGTGCACCTACATCAAGGACAGTATCTGATGGAAACATCTTTCTTGCACAGGGAACTGCAAATGCAAAGGCCCTGAGGTGGGCATATACCAGGCTGTCTGGAACACTCATGGAACCACTAGGAAGTCAGTGTGGCAGGAACAGAACGAGCAAGCGGGAGAGTGTAAGAGATGAAGTCAGAAGTAAGGAGGGGGTGGGGGAGTGTGGATGGTCTGACCGGAGAGGTTCTTAAAGGCCACCGTAGGGACTTCAATTTTTATGCTGAGTAAAAAGAGAAGTCACTGGTTGGATCTGAACAAAGCAGGGATGAGACGCACTCACATTTTAACAGAGTTGTGCAGCCTGCAGAATTGAGACAAGAGATCAAGGAAGCGAGGACGGAAGCAAAGATACAAGTTATGAGGCTATTCATGACGTGATGCAGGAAGAGGCGCTGGTGTCTTAGGCCAAAAGGATAGCAGAGGATGTGCGAGAAGTCGTTTGGTTCTTGATATATTTTGAAGAAACACACAATGGTAGTTGGATGTGGGATATAAGAGAAAAAGGGCAGTCAAGAATGACTCGGTGATTTGGGGTGGATGGGTCTTGGGTCTGAAAGATGAAGCAGGTGTACATGAGGCATGGGCTACTAGGAGAGGAGCAGGTTCGGAGGGGAGTTGGGAGGTTCCGTCTGAGAAGTCTATTCGACATCTCAGTGGTGATACTGAACAGGCAGTTGGATACAAGGATCTAGAATTCAGAGGACGGACCTGCGAAGGAATGCTATTTACAAGTCCTACATCAAATGAAATCTCTCGCAGAATGAATGCAACCAGAAGAGAGAAGACCAAAGGACTTGGTCCTGGGTGCTCCAAGGTGTCTAGTCGATGAGGAAGAACCAGCCAAGGAGAAAAAGGAGACAAAGTGAGGTAAGAGAAAACCCAGAAAAGTGTGCTTGTAGAAAGCAAGCACATAAAGTAGTTAAAAGAGGAAGAAGCAGTCCAACACGCCAATTAACAGGAGCGCTGAGGCTTCATCCCTGGATTTAAGCAACGTGAAGGTCACTGATGATCGGACATGACTAGTTTTGGTTGAGTGACGGATGCGTTAACTGGAGTACATTTCAGTATGAGAGGAGAACAAGGATGTACTATGTGTTGAAGGAGATTTGCTGTAAAGAAAAGGAGAAAAATGGGCTAGCTGGAGGGGAATATGGTTCAAACTTCCACTGAAGGGAGAAATAACCACATCCTTTAATGCTGATGGAGTTTCCATTAGAATGAGAAGCAGTGATGAGAAAGGAAAGGATTCTATAGCTGTGTCGGGATGGGGAATGGGATCTAGAGCCCAAGTGGGTGGGTTGGCCATTGCTAGGAACACAGTGAAAGGGAAAAAAGAAGGACACTCAGGCAAACACTGAAGCTGGGCTCGATGTGGTGGGGAGAATTCTTGGAAGTCTCCTCCATTTGTTTACCTCTATTGTCTCTGTGAAAGAGGAAGCACGTTCATCGGCAAGAGGGATGAGTAGGAGTTTGGAGGATTGCTGAGGGAGGAGATGGTATGGAAGTCTTGAAGAGTAGAAAAGTGAATAGAAGAGAGATATTGAGTATTATTGCTGGGCAGCCCTAAGAGCCAGCTAATCATGAATTTAGGGTGAGACAGGTCAACAAGAATGTGGCCAAGTTCAGCTTAGACACAGGTGCAGGAAGAGAGCGCTCGCTTATCCAGGGTTGAGGATATACTGAGCAAACACGACAAATATTTACTGAATTCAACAGAACTGGATGAAACTCACTGCCCATTGCCATACAGACCGCAGAGGGTAGTTTTCTCTTGTGATCACATGCCCTGTCCCACCCGGGTTTTGCCATCTTCACGGAGAAATCCACAAAATCCAGGATTTGGGGAATACTCACCGTCCTTCAAATCTGTGTTTTAAAAAATCAAACAATGCTTTCTGCATCATATCCGTGACCTGCAATTGAGCAAGCAATACATTAAGATACGGCAAAAATATTACTAATTACAACAAAACTGTTTCATCCCCAAGACTGTTTATCCCATTTGGATAGAACACATGTGAGACTGCCCCATTCTCCCATGGCTGAGTTCTGATACAAGCACAATGAAAAAGGTGAAGTTCCCCAAATTTATCCTGATGTTTCAGTGACAGTACATGACGATGACGTCACAAGTGGTTTCAGGCGCTCGCCATTTGATACCGTTTCCCCAGAGTAAACCGAAGCTTAGCAAAAGGTCCCCAGCAACAGCCATCAAAACAAAGCAGAACAAAACAGGAAGCAGTATATACCACAGCTTGGAAAATAATGTGTCTTGCTGCTGCAAGCTCTTTAAGCTTGAAATTCAAGAGGGAGGCGGAACCACAAAGCAAGTCAGCTTGCGAATGTCAAGTGTAGTGCACTCCAGAGGGCAGATACCTACCTCGTACCCCTTCAGAGAAGGGCCCACCAAGACCACTGGTCGCATAGAAGGAACCACGTCGTAAGGAGGAGTGTGCTCTGTCTGCAGAGAGAGATGAGAGGACTTCAGATGCTTAAAAGGCAGGGGGGACCTGAAATGTTCTAAGTATAAATTATTCTTTCTGAACTGTGTAATAAGAGGCACCGGCATTCCAGAACTTTCCTTTTTTTTTACTTGCCTCTTTCCTCGATAAACCCAATCAAAGCTTGATGGGCTTATTCTCCTAAAGTTGTCAAGTTCCTGAATTGTCTATGGTTTTCTTGCTCTCCTCAAGAAAGACTACTAACCTAGCAGGAAGCAGAAAGTGCTGCTTTTTGAACAAAAACTAGTTGGAAGGACAGCAGACATGCCTCGTGCAGAGCAGGTGCTTTAGGCTCGATGGGAAGTTAATATTGCTTTTCAAATGCATCTGAGAGTTTCCTGAAGGCTTGAAGGATCAGGCCTAACATGGTTAATTACGGAGAAAAGAAAAGTCATACTAGCTTTGCATCTTAGATGTTTGTCTTACCTGGATAAAACCTAATTTCAAAACATTATAACATTCATTACCAAAATACTTGAAAATCCCTGCTCTCCTCTGAGAGTTTAAGTCAACAGGCACGCTCGTTCCACTAAGCAGTAATTAGGGTCACTATCACGGGTTAGTGACGCACGGCTTTGGATTTCCGGTTTCTAGACCTCGGAACTTGAAAACTTAAGAGGTAAGGTTTGTGCGTCTTGGAAGGAAGGCGGTTAACGTGTGATAACGTAGTCAAGCAGCTGCAGGGGCCTCAAAAGCTTCATTATCAACTTGCACATCTAATAGGCTTCTCTAGAGTAGTTTAGGTAATGTCTCTGTTACATAACTAATTCATGCCTTTCTTTCTCTTTTGGAAGAGTAAGGGGAAGAGCTAAATTATGGACCAATTTCTAAAACTTTGCAAAGTTTTCAGCTTTGCTGCTTCACATAAAATGGTCAAATAAAATTTTTCAAAAAAAAAATCAGGTAACAACTTATCTGTTTGATAAATTTAAAGCTGGCTATTTCTGGTCGGCAGAAAATGCTACACAGACCCAAAGTGACTTTTTTGAATGCAGAAGACAGAGATCAGGTCTTAAACATGGGGGTAAACAAATCACTGTCATCTGAATCTTTCTGCATTAAGGAGTGTCTAAAAAAATATATTTTCAGAATCACAGAGACCAAAAAAAGATTTTTTAAACTATTTTAAGCATTTGAAAAACTAACGTGCGAACGTAATTTCTGCACAGCCTGGTGCCCAAGAACATTTTACTGTTGCTTAAAATTGCCCATTACAGGGGTGCCTGGGTGGCTCCGTGCTGAGCATCTGACTCTTGGTTTTAGCTCAGGTCATGATCTCAAGGGTCATGAGTTCGAGCCCTGCATGGGGCCCTGTGTGCTCCGTGTAGAGCCGGCTTGAGAGTCTCTCTCCCTCTGCCCCCTACTCCCCTGTTGTCCCCTCCCTCTCAAATAAATAAACAATTTTTTAAAAAATTGTCCATTACAAACTTTCTGACTTTAATTGAATTTAACTTGCTTCCGGGGGTTGGGGGGGTGGTGGTGGAGAGGTGGAGTTAAAAAGCATTTCAGTTTTAGCAGCTTCCATGTGAGATTTCATCCAAGGTAGCAGACAAATATATTTATAGGGGGCAGAAATAATGCTGTGGCTGTGTGGTCCAATTTTAGTCCTTCAAATTTTACCTCGTATTCAAAATTAATTTAAAGAGACACAAGAAAGGTAAGATACATTTTCAAACGGGGGGAAAAAAACAAACAAGACAAACATAATACAATAATAGCACAAACGCCACAAGCACCACTCTAAAAGCAACCTAAAACATGGAAAACAGTCTCATCCGTGAATCTCAGGTCGTCTCTTTGGTTTTGAGCTCTACATCGAAGTTCACCACATCATCATTAACAGAAGAATGAATACCAGTGCCGAAGGCATCATAAGCATATTTGTCATGACATTGATACCGCCTGGGATCATCCTGACAATGTTTAGAAGCCAAGGCCTTATAGCTATTCAGTATAAGAATCCCTCTTCCATTATTGGAATTAGGAATATAATTGCACCGCTACCAAGAATTTTCATTTCGAGTCTGTAAGTATTACGTGGCCCCATATTTTAGAGGTCTTTGGTTCCTTCGATCTCTGGCTGCCAACTAGAGAAACGTTACCCATGCTGGTCATCAATCAGCTTCTTATTCAATAGGGTAGCTACAGAAATTACCTTATTTGATGGAATATTGGTACTTTATGCCCTACGGATACCGACACCATCATTTTTAAATGCTCTTTCCCGCTAACTTTATTTTGTTCCAATTCTTTAGCTGAGAAATCGTGATAAACATTTTTAAAGGCTGGGAATTTAAGGGTACGCAAACTTCCAAAAAGGCATCTCGACTGACATGGTTTTGGTTCGTGTCACCGCTCTGGAAAGTCCAGAGCGTCCGAGTGATACTGATTTTTTAGGCATCAGCGCTCGAGCTCAGTCAAGGTTGCAGGATTGAGCTGCGCCGAGAAGACAGGACCAGAGGGAGGGGGGCCCCACGGGTGCAGGTGTGCACCCAGCTGGGGCTGTCTGTGTTAACACAAAAAAATCCAGGTTTTAATTTTTGGAGGGCCTAGGTCTTGCGTTATAAAAGTAACCATCATTTATTAAAAACAAAAACAAAAACAACAAACTTCCCAGTTCAGTCTCTGACACCTCGTGGCTGATTTTAGAGTTCCTCCATGTGGCAAAATGCTTGTGTGCAGGGGAAAAAAAGACGAGGACACAGAGTTTGAGGCAGAGGAGGCTCTCCTCCCCACCCGTGTCACGATGTGCCTGCCCATGGTTGTGCCGGACACAGCCACGGGAGGAAGGAGGGTTCCAAAAGACACTTTACTCTGCAAAGTGGCGTGCAAAAAGGAAGGAATGGAAATTGTTTGTGCGGGGGGAGGGTGAGGAATGTCCTTAAAAAATAATGCTTTCAAGCTACAAAATGGGTGAAAGGAAACAGACTAGGTCTGGAGTCAAGAGAGCTCAGGAACACCCTTGGTTTCCAGTCAGGGGACGAGGAACATCACCGTGTAGCATCTTGGCCGGCCAGCGGCAAAGGCGACCTACGCACAGCCACTGCCCCGTCATCCGACAGGTGAGATCCTGCGACCTGACTGTGACGGAGGAGGCAAGAACATGGGGAGAGTATTTATAGATGACAATAGGAAAAACTCACAGTAAACCGCCAAAACAAGCCTGCAGTTTTCCACTGGTCTTGTTCATCTGCAGATTTTGCACCTAGTGGATTAGAAGTTTAAATACTGACTAAATTAAAAATTGAATACTTTTTTTTTTTTTTTTTTTTTTTAGTACAAGCTATGTATCTGGATATCACAAATCAGATTCTAATAATGGTTTTACTATGCTTCATAGAAGTTAAATTTCTGGAAAAAAAAAAGAAAGAGACAAAGACAGACAGAATAAGCATGCACAATAAAGGTGCATCATGTTAAGTTGTCAGTGTTTGACATCTGGGAGATGTTGAACCAAAGTCCCTCGGTGGTAAGATATTATTCCATCAAAAAGGATAAGTACTGTAATAGTGCCTTAACAGGTCACTCGCTGAATTTCGTCCGTTTGAAATGCATGGACTTCATTAGCTGTTTGACAGGTTCTTTTCTGAGGACAGAAATGACCGTGTTTTACCCAAACTGTGGGGCTTAATGCTAATGATGCCAGTGGCAGGATAAACACACCTTATGTCAACGTCAACTTACCGATTTCTGCTTCTGCTTAGCTACAGCAGCATGGAAAAGAAACAAAGAATAACACAGCATGCACGTTATTGGCTTCTCGAAAGGACGCAGACAGTCAACAGGACTAGAAATGTGACGCAGTGCAGGTGAGCAGGTGGACAGACGGGAGCTTGGAAGTTAATGTTACCTTCTTAAAGAAGGGCATTCTTTTCTCTTTGGAGTGGGGTGACGTTACACTGTTTGCACTGGGTTTAGGGGAGCGATGGTTGGCTTGAATATCATTTCCTTCTGCATCTAAGCCAGTAGCATCTATGTCTATAGCTATATACAGACAAACAATTCAAAAATCATCAGGGAGACAGGAGAGGAAAAACAGGTTATATATAAAAAAAAAAAAAGAAATGAAAATAAAACGAAAGCAAATAAAACGAACCATAGTATAAGATCGATTGTGAGTGCTCTGCATGGTCAACAAAGTAAAATTCAAAGGGTCAGGCACGTTAAGAAGGCAATGCAATCAAACCTAACAAAACCACAAGAGCCCCTCACGAGATCCGTTGGCTCGAGCACGTGAGTTTTACACTAGATCTCTTGACTGGTATTTTTAGAGCAACACTCTGAATCTGTAGTTCCAAACAGAGTACTGACAGTTCTCCACGTCGACCGTGTGTGACCATGGCACAGAACATCTGGCTTCACATCTCACGGTATCTTCAGCTTTTCGATCGTAAGCAACTGCACTGCAAACCGTTATCAGGCACTGCCTCCAACTCCTTATTTTGCTTGGTTTTGTGTGGAAAAAAAATAATAAGGGCAAGGTGGAAAGCATCACTAAAACCACAACAGGCATGTGAGGGGAAGCAAGAATAGAAAAATCCCCAATTCAGGGCTACATGAGGCACATGGGTACAGGGAGGCTTCCGGGATGGGCAGGACTGAAATGATTTCGAGATGGCACGGACCCCCTCCGGCAGGCTGACTGGAAACTAGACAGAAACCTCTGGACCCCCCTCCCTGATCTCCAAATGAAATTAGTCTAATAAAAATGACATAATAAGGGGACTTCCACTGATCGATACGAAGCCTTATATAAATGCATTAAACCTGAGAGGCAGAGTGGGAGGGCACGAAGACCCCAGACAAAATGGCACACGCCTCCTTGTCTGGAGAACGAGAGGTTTAGGTCTGTGGTTCGACATGCTTTCATTTTTGAAATCTTTTGCCTTGAAAACTGGAGTGCTTAATGATGAACCGTAAATGCAAAAAAAAAAAAAGAAAAGGAAAAAGAAAAAAACAGCCATACTCTCATTTCCAGGTTTATGAAATGTTTCCACCAGCAATTACTACAGAGTTTTATCCACTGCAGAAATCAGAGCTGGAGAGTATTTTGAGGATCACTTTCAACCCTCTTATTTTTAAGAGTGAAATGAGAATTCAAGAGTTTCAGGGACTTATTGTTGGCAAAAACCTCTGCAGAGCCAGGACTCCGAAGCTAGGCTCGGCATCTGCAAGCCCCTGTCCCCGCACCTTGCTGCCCCCACAGGTGAGCGCTCCCCATCCAGGCAGCCTTCCGTCCTCAGCCCCTTCCTTCCCCCAGCCAAGGCGGGGGGGGGGGGGGGGGGGGGGGGGTGAGTGGAGTGGGTGGGGGTGTGTGTGTGTCACGGCCTCACTGCCAGGATTCAGGAAGGGACCGCAGAGTGGAGCTTAGGAGAAAATTATGCTGTGGTTTAGCTGAGGTCACAGAGAAGAAAATCTACTCTAACAAATACCACAGTACATTCCGATAAGGAACAAATTACCACCCGGAAATAACCATTGGGGGTCACTGAGCAGCTCCCATCCCTGTGCCCCACAAGGAACACACTAGGTTCACACGGGCACCCATTGCTAACTTCTTCGACGGAGAGCAGATCACCTGACAGGCATCACATTATTTTTCAATTTTGAGGTTGTTACGGATATGAGGTGACTCAACCTTTTGGAAACTAAGATCTCTTGCTTCATTGTTCTTTTGATTCATCTGAGGAGGTTGAAGGTGTGTGATGGAGTAATTCCCTGGCACTGTTTGCACAACATTGCTCGTATTGACAACTGCTCACAGAACGAGCACATAGGATTTGCTCTCCAGGGAAAGGACTCACAGACTGAGTTAATTCCAGCTAGTTAGTTAGACTTACCTAGTAAACAAGACTTTTGTCTTTGTATCACCCACACAACGCTGATGTGCTGACAGGTTCAGCACCTCGTGTATGACAGAAACACTCTAACTTGATGCTGACTTTTATCCAACGCTCTAATGTTCTTCCTACTGAATCCTAACTTAGGAAGCGTGTTAGTGTCTTCCTGGCTACAATGGAGAGGATCTGGGTCAGTTTTTCACTCTCTCTGAGGTAGACCTTAACCAACATCAGGTAAGTTTCCCTTCTGGTGTTAACTTCCCATCTACTTTTCCCTTTCTCGTCTTTTCCTGGGCTTATAAAGGCCACCTTCAAGGGACAGTATTCCTGAGAGCATTTCTGAAACTGAGGATACCTACAAGCCTCTCCCGAGTTGACAGGGCATCAGCAAAGTTCCTGCATTAGATTTTACGATTTGGTCCTTCAGTCTGGTGTGCTGTGATCAGTGGGTGGATTTAAAAAAAAAAAAATGTTATAGTAAGAGTGGAAATCCATAAAAAGCTTAGCTGTAATACTGCCCAGATGTTTGGCGACCCACGCATAGCCTCAGAGCCCAAGACAGGTTTGAAATTTACCTATATTTGGACCCAAGAGCTCCAAAATCTCAAATTGAGAACTTCCAATTTATTAGGTCTGACTGTTGGTTAACTTAAATTTAAAAGCATGTGGGTTCATTCCAAAACACAGAGAATTCTAAAACATTTGGCCACTTTCAAAACACATTAAAGGAATTTACTAAGACAGTTAAGAAGCATGTTCAATTCTTTTCATGGCTCCATGGACTTTATCGGACTCAGATGGTTGCCCCTTTGTGTCTGTGGACCTTAGCAAACATTTGTATTTACCTGGGAAAAACTACTTCCATAAATAAGAAAATGGTTTCCTCTATTGGTCCACAACAGAATGACTGTTCTGTGTTTTGTGTTTTGTTTTTTGGTGGAGAGCCTTGACAACATTTTTTGAAATCTAATTGGTAACTTCATCTTAGATACTGGGTCCAGTCGAGGGGGGTGTTGGGGTGACCCGTAAAGGCATGCACATGTAGGCATGGGGTACGTGTTGTGTAATTGGTGATCATCCCATTACCCAGATGAGAAGTGGAAATTTTTCCTTTTCCCAATCTCTGAGAAACTCCAAGTATATTTCCTTTAGGCCAACGCTTGTATTCTTCAGTTTAGCAGTGGATCAGGTGAATTCTAGGTAAGGCCTCTGGGAGATAACAGGGGAAAGTGAGGGACTGGAGGCCAATCAACACAGATAGGTTAGGTGGTTTACCCTGGAGGTGGGGGGGGGGGTCTTGCCTGTAGAAATTCTCTAAAGTTTTCCTTTAGAGAAGTTGTGGCATTGATATGAAAATGACAGCAAGTTCCGGATGTGCCGGCTATAAATTCATAGTTGGCAAATGTCTCCAGTCCATTAAGTCACGAGTGTTTTCTGTTCTCGGTATTCAGAAAAGTTATTCTCAAGTCCTGTATCTGTATAAAACTTGCATCAAGTTATCGTAGCCAATTAAACTTTAGTTTCAGTAATGGCAAACATCTGTCTACAAAAGCAGAATGTTATTTTACAAATACACTAAGTTACTCTTCAAAACGCATGTGGCCTGTTCTCCTTCTATTTCCAAAAGCATTAGAAGGCTATGGTACGGCTGAAGGAAATGGAAGCCTTTTCCTGGTCTACAGGAGTACCGCTGATCTCTGCAGCCCGGGCTGTGTTGTATCACCATAGGATGTGACATTTCCCCATTTCAGGACCCTGGTGACCGTCCTCTGGAGTCTCTGAGACAGCTTTGAAGATATATACGAAGTGTACAACTTTCTACCATCATCTCTGTAATTTTATATGCTTGAGAAGGAGCGGAGATAAGCTTCCCTTTGCCCTGTGCATTCAGCAAACAGCTCTGCTCCACCGACGGAGGGAAGACAGAAGCCTCACACAATCCCTAAATGGGTTTCAATTTTCATTTCAAACATACTATTTCACTTGATTTGGGGAAACTCAGAATTACTGCAAGTTGTATGTACATGGTATTTGAAATCAATACGCATCCTAAAACGATTCATTTCTTATTTAAGTGCTCAGATTTTGCACTTAAAAAGTTCTGTCATGGGGCGCCTGGGTGGCTCAGTGGGTTAAAGCCTCTGCCTTTGGCGCAGGTCGTGATCCCAGGGTCCTGGGATTGAGCCCCACATCGGGCTCTCTGCTCCATGGGGAGCCTGCTTCCTCCTTTCCCTCTGCCTGCCTCTCTGCCTACTTGTGATCTCTGTCAAATAAATAAATAAAATATTTAAGAAAAAAAAAAGTTCTGTCATTTTTATTAAGAAGGCTTTGATTGGCCTCTAAAAGCCACCAATGTTCAGGAATGAGGCGTGATCAGGAGTAACAGGGGAAGCCTGTTCTTAAGACAGGCCAGTTAGAGGGCAAGCACTTCCCTAACTTGTCCACAGATGAACACTCCAGCTTCCTCGAAATCACACAAGGAATCATTTCGCTCAAAATACTCTGCTGGTGAGTCCTTGCAATCTTACTCTGACTCAACTGTATCTCTTAGCAAACTAAGATTCGGATGATTATGGGCTTTCTGCAATTCTACCAATTAGTCTTCAATTTATACACAACTCCAGAATGGTGGAGTTGCCAGATTTCACAAAGAAAAATACAGTCAAATTTCAGTTTCAGAGAAATTTTTTTTTTAACTCTAAGTATTTCTCATATAATACACGAAAAAAATTATTCATTCATCTGAAATTCAATTTTAACTTGGTATCCTTCTCCACTGCCTTGGAGAGAAAACAGGAGTTACTCTTCCCACAAGTGTTTCAGTCTCTTTTCAATACTTCTACTCATCTCCTACATCTTTCACAGAGTCTTTGGGGTAAAGTTCATGTAAGGTCAATCACTCCATCATAACTTTATTCTCCTTTCCTTGCCTTTAGAAAGCTTTTATCCTTCTGCCTTTACTGAACATTGAGGCCAACAATACACGTTGCTCTGTCGCTGATGGCGGGCATTTGCCCGTTTGCTGCCCATGACGCTGTGCTGGGTACCACGGTGGGAGTGTGCGTGTAGGGATAAAAAATTAAATACATTCATCACTTTGGTCATCTAAACAACTTACAGGGAACACATGGACATCGTTCCTTTTTTCAAAGCCCTGAAAAAACTTCCCCATATTATTTCTTCCTCCATGTAGGCACTCTTATTTCTGATCGCTTTTCACCCTTCTTGGGTTCACACAGGGATCCTGTATGCAGAGTCACACAACTAGGGGAGATCGAGGAGAGCATGAAATGCAGACTGCGCCGTTCTGCACTCATTGCCTACTTACCGGATGATGGCGGTGTAGATTTTCTGGAACTAGGGACTATGTCACCCAAACTGGATGAAGAATTTCCTCCTGATTTACTGGAGTAAAGCAAAAATTTACATTACACCTGACACTTATTTCAGATATTAAAACATTTGTCTTGCTCAATAAATATGGTTAGTCATTGTGTTTCTACTGAACTTTAAATCTGTCTTTCCTATAAGGAGGCAAATAGTAATTTCCCAGTGGAGATTCCTGGGGGTACTTGAAACAGCCAATGTAATAGTCTTGGTTTCAAATTCCTGGTTTAATTTTAAAAGGCCCTGAGAGAATGGAAGAGAACTAGGGTAATTTCTGCAGCCCTCACATTCTCTGCCAGCATCAGAGACAGAGTGCAGAACTTTCCTTTGCTTCTTCGGCTGGCGACCCCCTGAAGCAGTGCCGAGAACCTCAAGGTTAACACCAAGATTATGGTTTTCTTCTTGTTTGGTTTGGTTCTTTGTCTTGGCTTGGTTACTTTTAGTGTATGAAGTCTAAAAGTACTCAAGCTTTCCTGAGCAACCTATAAAAGAAAAACACTGTCCTATGGAACTTGCTAACCTTTGCAAGACATACAGAGGAACAGGACAAACACGGTGTGACACGATTTAACCCTCTAATAGCAATTAGCCTTCAGAACGTGTCTCACGCGTGACTAATATGGAGGCTTCAACCTGGTTCATCGAGGCATGATTTGAAGAGCACGTCCTGTGAAACCACCAGATTCTAAAATTCGATAGTGCCTTGGAAACTTTAGACTTACCAGTAGACATTTATGTTTTTTTACCAGCATCCCAGCACGCTAAATATCCTAGTACTAGACGGCCACTTCACAGATGATGATGGGAAGGAGAAGCGGGGGATGGGCAATTTTGGCAAGACAGTCTTACCGCCTAACTCTTGTTCTCAGAAGCAGCCCTGGGTCTAGCTGAAAGAATTTGCTACAGTGTCTATGCACCAAAGGGCAATGTTTAAGTTACATAAATATTAACATGAAAATATAAATTCCACTAAACACCAGTAAGCAGGCTGAATTGTACTGCTTCTGCCTGGCAAAGCATAAAACAGACCAACATCACAAACTTAAAGCAGCTAGCAGGAGCTGCTGTATCTTTCTGAGGTTCTTAAGAGATACCCCAGTACATTTAACAAGGATACCCAACAGGATGCAAAATTAATAAAAAGTGGTATTGACAGAAGCAATTTCTGGTCGTTTTACAAGAATATACCCATACACCAGGACCAAAACATTTTCTTTCAGAAGTTTTTTTTGTGTGTTTGGATTTTGTTTTTACTTTTTCTCAAGTCCCAAGTCTAATTTCAGTTCAAGCATGGGTCTGTTTTACATTCTCTTTGAATTTTAATAAAAGTCAAAGTATTATTTGGATTGTGTAAAATTTCAACAAACACCGCAAACAGCCAAAATGTTCAAAATGCAAATTTGCCCTTAACTTTTCATTCTAGGCAAATGCCACATTCTCGAGTTCTGCCCCCCATTTACTGCCTTTGATTTCTGCCGATTTTTGTAACTTAAATTATCAGAGTCTTTTTACATACTGCTGGATTTCGGTTATGTCCTCAAAATAAAACTGTATTTCGGAGGTTAGAAAACAAATGTAAAAATCTCTAAAAGCAACTAAAAATACCTTCACCGACCAAGGCAAAAGTTTAGGTTAAAAGGACAAGATACAGGACAAAATAAAATCAAGATAGTCAAGAGAAAAGCCATCCAGTTATAGGAAAGGCAATCTAGCTCTCTAGAGTAAGTTTTGTTACTCCCCAAATGTAATTTATAGTCTTTTAAGGGGAAAAAAATGCAAGAGCAAAACAGTCTACCTGATAGAGTAAATATCAGATGGCGATATGAGTAATGATCCGTTCTGTCCTTGCTATACCAGGCCCTCGCTACGTGATATGCACTGGAGCAGAGCAATCTGTCCCAGGTCAGGCTACAGTCAGACTGAGCCAGTCTTCATCCCAATTCTGCTGCTTACTAGTTGTGCAGTCTTGGTCAAGGTCTCTGCCTTCTCCTTGCTTGCTACCCCGTCTGGGAAGTGGGGGCTCTAATACCTGTTGTTTCTACAAGTTCTTACAAAGCTGAGCCGATGACTCACATCAGCCCAGGGATGACCACATGGGAGGCAGAGGAAACCGTGCTTCCCTAACAATTTTGGCCATAATATCTCCCTTCCTACGCTTTGGGAAGTAGCTCTCCCTTCTTGGTTTGTACATGAATAAGCAGAGAAAGATATACAAGTGTATCTCTGAGAAAACCCATCCGCAATTTTCCATAATACATTCTGCAGAACACTATTCCAAAGACATGAATGAAGGAAGATTTAAGATCATTTTAGTATATACACGAAAAATATCCCCATCCCAGTACCCAGATTCACAGTATACACTGATATAGTAAAGGCTCAGAAAAGGGGCGCCTGGGTGGCTCAGTCTGTTAAGCGATTGCCTTCAGCTCAGGTCATGATCTTAGGGTCCTGGGATCCAGTCCTGCATCAGGCTCCCTGCTCAGTGGGGAGCCTGCTTCTCCCTTTCCCTCTGCCTCTACTCCCAGCTCCTGCTCTCTCTCACTATCTCAAATAAATGAATAAAATCATTAAAAAAAAATAAAGGCTCAGAAAAATCCTCAAAGTAATTTCCCTATTACCTAGTATTATCCTAAACTTACTTCACCAGGAAAACTCTTGAAAATGCCGAATTACCCTTAACAAATAAAGACAACACAAGCATCCCCGGAGATAACATCAAACCCCAACAACCTACATACCACCAAATTGAAAACAGCAACATCTATATCCCATGAAAATAAAAAATTTTCCACATTACGAGATTTTATTAGCTAGTACTGAGATACCAGTATCCACACAGAGAACAGAAGAAGACCCGATAAAGCTGGAGAACACTGGAAATGGTACGAATAGAATCAGATCTTCAACACCCCACAAGTCAGCTGCTCATGCTTTGTTGATCTGCCCGGATCTACTTCTATGGGACTACAGGTGTCTCAGTCTGACAGCTGCCAATAACCTAGGGGTTCATGAGAGCCAAATATGGGGATGAGGTCTCCAGAAAGGGAGGAGTTGCATTTGAATTACAAGAACCCGACAGTTAACAAAATACTAAAGAAGATGGTTGGTCCAAACCAAAAATGATTTTCTATTTCACTTATTGCTGATGCTTGAAAAAAAAAATTGTGCTAATGCTAAAGTATTACCTTTGACTACAAAGGATTTTGCAGCATTAGAGAAATAAATAAAATCTAAGGTAGAGAAAACAGAACCTAGCTGTTCACATCCCTTCCCCCAGGGAGAAGCAGGCTGTGCTCTCAGACGTGTCTACGTATGGTTCAATTTCAAATTCACTCCATGTCTGAGTGAATTCTTCTCAGTCTTCCAGGGCTGCGTTTACGGAGGGGCACACAACTTCAAGACTCTTAGGAAGGATTACTCAGCCCCAGTGTATTCATAACTCATTCAATTGCTATCGCCAAAGGCAGTTTTAACTGGTTTCATACCGGGTTTCAACCCTGAAGTGCTTAGCAGTGGGTAGAACTGAAAACTCAGTTTCTCAAGTGAGGATAAAATGCACAGATCACAAGACCTGCTCTTGGCCAGCGACGTCGAAGACCGTCGTGTCTGAAACGCCTCCCCACCCCACCAGGCGGCTAGAGCGACACTCGGCTTAGTCACCGAGGCTAGAATGTTTTCAGTAAGAGATTAGGACTTGAGAACAACGTCTGCACTGAAGACCAGATTTAATACTTGATGCCTTTATTCTTAATGAGAACAATTAATTTGATTCTTTCCCAAATAGGATGAAAATCAGTCGCTAGGATGCCATCACTAAACCACATCGCGAGTCCGCTTTTCAACACGTAGTAAATACTGTGGGACACAGACAACACGAAGACACAGTTGACCATGTAATGTAGACTTTTACACAAACGCCATTTTTCTCATACCTGGAGTAGAATTTCCCTTGCTTGGCTCTCTGTTCATGCTGCAGCCTCATATTTTCTAGTTTCACTGGGCTTGGGATGAATCCGATTTCACAGCCTTCTTTCACCAATCGCCCTATCCACCAGTCATTGTTAAATTTCTAAACACAAAATCAAATTTGTTTGCCATCAGTGCACAGAATATGTTAACTGTTTTATGTCTCTGTTACTGTTTATGTCTATGTTAACTGTTTTCGGTGGAGAGGGTATTATGGCAATTACGGTAAGCTACGCCTCAACATCACAACTGAAGAAACTCTACTGGTTTCATGGTTGAGCATGTACGAGGGAAGTATTGTCAGTGAGCTCAGAGATCTCGGAAGGCAGGCTGGACCCTTCCTTCTCTTTCCTGCTACTGCTTTGAGACTAGCCTGAATTCCAGCGAGGCTCTTCATAGGATCACCTCCCCTGGTTCCTTCCTACCAAGAGACCATTAGGAATGAGGGAGGGTGACAGACGCCTCTTCCATAATCAGATTACTTAAACATACTAAGAGTGGTCAAGAAACACTGAAATCTACCTGCAATATCTTGTGTCAGAGCAAAATGCCCCTCTGTGCAAACAGGTTTCTAATTCCCATGGCATGGGGTTCACAGAGGAGTTCTCCACTCATGTGGACGCTGACAATTTCTCTCCTGCCGATGGAATATTTATCCTAAGTCTTTACGATTTGGTCTCACTTGTCTCAGTTGACTGGTAGCTTTCCAGTCTGTTCTTGAACATTTCAAAGATGGGCCACTCTGTTTTTCTTTTTCTTTCATGGTAGAAAAGAGATCTCTCTTTAAGCAGCAGCCATCAGGAGGGGATCGCAGATTAACCTGACTTCCTGTTGTAAAGTCTGATTCCAGGCATGTCATTAATTCTGACAACATTTTCTCTCTTTCCTTCCCACCCAGTATTCATATCTCTTTCTAAAAGTTAATAAAATGGTAGGCTCTATATTCTCTAAGCTTGGTGCCTGGGTGGCTCAGTCGCTTAAGTGTCTGCCTTCGGCTCAGGTCATGATCGAGTCCCACATTGGGCTCCCTGTTCAAGGGGGGGCATCTGCTACTCCCTCTGCCTCTGCCCTTGCTCCCTCCCCCCAACTCCCTGCTCCTGGTCTCTCTCTCTAATAAATAAATAAAATCCTCAAAAAATAATAAATTCTCCAGGCTTTTTTCCCCTACATACATAAAAACATATTTGAGTCAAAACTGTACCTTTCTACCTCTTTACCAAACAGTTTTAGAGGATGGCTTTATTTTTTAATAAATTTTTGTTATGTGAGTCTACCCTAGGCTCTTTTAACTGGCAGTCATCATCTCCTTTACTTAGAGCCCGCATCACAGGGAGCCCTGAAATTTACATATGCTCCTCGTGACACATCATCCCTCAGGTGCAAGTTGCTCCAATTCTCATTCCTGCAGGTGCAAGGAAACCTCATACTCACACACCGCGAACATCATTCAGGGGGAATTTCTGCTCTTTTCATACCATGTTCTGCACAGCAGGCATTTGATAAATGTTGATCCAAAATCAACCTTAATTAAGGGTGTATTTTTCCAGTGGATGGATATGACTCATTGTTTACTGACAGGTGGAGACTTTCAGCATGGAGATAAAGGGAATGTCCTGCTCGCTACTCCTTGCCTCAGTGGCTCCAATGCCTACATTCTCCCTTCCACTGCAGACATTTACCACCCAAGGAGGGTCCAATGCATTCAGGCATTGTCAGCAGAGAGGCGAGATCATGAGCTCTAGGTATTATTAACCCTCCCCAGATGGTTAAACTTGTGATAGATGTGAGGGGAAAACGACACACAGCCAAGGTTAAAAATTAAAAAGAAAGAGCACAGGTTATGCATAAAAAAGGATCATCTAGTCTAGTAATTCCCAATTTCTGGGTCACAGAGCCCAGGGGAGCCCTGAAGTTAGTACAAGACGCCTGTGAGTTCTTTCTTCTTTAAAAAGGTTACATTTATATTAGAAAAGGTTAAGCAGTATTGTATCCACGGGTGTTACACAAGTCGGGGGTAGGGGGGCACGCCATGCTATGTCACAGCAATAAGAGAGAAGAAATGACGTCTCGAGGTGAAAACTTAATGCGGGTAGAAATTCAAATCCTTTTCCTTACTTCCTTAACATGCAGAAAATCTTTTGCTTCGAAGGAGATGGCCATGCCTGGCACTGGGACATCATCTTCGTGGATTGCACTATAGCTGACATTTGTCCGAACAGCAAATGCAACGGGCTTTGTCTAAGAGGGAAAAGAAAGGGAGAAAAAGGTAAAAAAATTATATATATATAAACAACCGAGCTCCTCTTTTTTTCTCTCCCATGATACCAACCAGCATACACCAAATATCTGCTGGCGTAGTTTTCTTCCACCTGTGTCCTTTATCACAAAACAGCATGTTCGTATTCACAGTGCGGGAAATCTTTGCGCTCTACGTTGCAAACCACCCATCTCTGAACCACAGAAAGGCCACTGCTCTCTTTGAAGGCACGAAAAGTAATGAAGGTGAAGATGAAGTCCAGAAATATGTGTTTACAACGTAACAGCCTGTAGCCACTGGAAATCAGTAGATACACACAGAAGAATAAAATGCTCCTCCTTCTTTGGGCTCAGTGAAAAAAGACCTAGTAACTGCCACTCCCACCCCCAAACAGCTACTTTAATGAATAATTCATGACATAATTCTAGGAAGTAGAGCGTCTGGGGTGAAAAAATAGCCAGAGAATATGTCTTAATTCATGGTTGCAGGGAATTACGAAATCGATGACCTTTAATTTTTTTTTTTTTAAAGACTTATTTATTTGAGAGAGAGAGCTGCAGGGAGGGGCACAAGGAGAGGAGAGAGTCTCAAGCAGACTCCACACTGAGTGCAGAGCCTGACGCAGGGCTTGATCTCACAACCCTGAAATCATGACCTGAGTCAAAACCAAGAGTTGGCCACCTTATCAACGGAGCCGCCCAGGTGCACATCAATGACCTTTAATTCTATGAGTCTTCCTCCTTGAGTCCCATCAGCCATTGAAGATGGTCACATGAATGAAGCCATCCTTCATTATTTGACGCTTTGCAAATTCACAGGTTAAGTATTTGTCCTCTGTCTAGGCAATTCCTATTTATATACAAGGTGAAAAAACAGGTAAGCGCAGAAATGGTGAAAAGAGGTGTTGTTTAACTGGCACTGTGTTTCTTTACATTGTGGACATGTGGACATTTTCCGAGTAGTTTCTCCCTATTGAAGGAGCTCTTCTTTGGCCTGGCTTGTCAGAGTCGAAAAATGGGGATTTGGAATAAGAGTCCCTCTTTATTTCCATATTTTCCACAGTTAATCGGTCCCATGGGACTGTTGTCTGGGTTGAGGACCAAGCTAAGAGCCATGAAATCAGATCCATCCACAATATGCAGACTGAGAAAGGCTACCACATTCTAGATAAGAGCACAGTAGACATAAAGGGGACATAATACAGGAAATTTGATTCTTGGTAATCACTATGATCTTTAATGACAATGGTGCTTTCTTCCTTGAATGGAAATAGGGACTTAAAAAAAAAAAAGATATTATTGGGGCATCTGAGTGGCTCAGTGGGTTAAGCCTCTGCCTTCGCCTCTGGTCATGATCTCAGGATCCTGGGATCAAGCCCCGCATCGGGCTCTCTGCTCAGCGGGGAGACTGCTTTCCCCTCCCCCTCTGCCTACCTCTCTGCCTACTTGTGATCTGTCAAATTAAAAAAAAAAAAATCTTTGGGGCGCCTGGGTGGCTCAGTGGGTTAAAGCCTCTGCCTTCGGCTCAGGTCATGATCCCAGCATCCTGGGATCGAGCCCCGCATCGGGCTCTCTGCTCAGCAGGGAGCCTGCTTCTCACCCCTCTCTCTCTGCCTGCCTCTCTGCCTACTTGTGATCTCTCTCTCTGTCAAATTAAAAAAAAAAAAAATCTTTGGGGCGCCTGGGTGGCTCAGTGGGTTAAAGTCTCTGACTTCGGCTCAGGTCATGATTCCAGGGTCCTAGGATCGAGCCCCACATCAGGCTCTCTGCTCAGCGAGGAGCCTGCTTCCATTCTTCTCTCTCTGCCTGCCTCTCTGCCTACCTGTGCTGTCTGTCAAATAAATGAATAAAATCTTAAAAAAAAAAAAGATTTTATTTATTTATTTGTCAGACAAAGAGGGAGTGTGTACACAAGAAGGGGGAATGGCAGGCAGAGGGAGAAGCAGGCTCCCTGCTGAGCAAGGAGCCTAATCTGGGACTTGATCCCAGGACCCGGATATCATGACCTGAGCCAAAGGCAGATGTTTAACCAACTGAGCTACCCTGGTGCCCGGAAATAGAGACTTTTTAAAAAGCCCATAATTCTACCACTGAAACACAACCCTTTTTAAAAAATTCTACCACTGAGGGGCAACTGGGTGGCTCAGTGGGTTAAAGCCTCTGTCTTCGGCTCAGGTCATGATCCCAGGGTCCTGGGATCGAGCCCTGCATCGGGCTCTCTGCTCAGTGGGGAGCCTGCTTCCCCCCTATCTCTCTGCCTGCCTCTCTGCCTACTTGTGATCTCTGTCTGTCAAATAAATAAATATTTAAAAATAAAATAAAATAAAATAAGATTCTACCACTGAAACACAATCCTTTTTTAAAAATTATTTTTAAAAATTTAAATCCAATTAACTAAAATATAGTGTATTATTAGTTTCAGAGGTAGAGTTCAGTGATATTCATCAGTCTTATATAAAACCTAGTGTTCATTACATCACATGCCCTCCTTAATGTCCATCACCCAGTTAACCCACCTTCCCATCCTCCTTCCCCTCCAGCAGGCCTCGGTTTGTTTCCTATGATTAAGAGTCTATTATAGTTTGTCTCCCTCTCTGGTTTCATCTTGTTTTATTTTTCCCTCCATTCCCCTCTGATCCTAGTTTTGTTTCTTTGAGAATTTCTTTTTTTTTTTTTTTAAAGATTTTATCTATTTATTTGTTAGAGAGAGAGAGCGCGAGTGAGCACAGGCAGACAGAGAGGCAGGCAGAGGGAGAAGCAGGCTCCCCACTGAGCAAGGAGCCCAATGCGGGACTTGATCCCAGAACACCGGGATCATGACCTGAGCTGAAGTCAGCCGCCCAACCAACTGAGCCACCCAGGCGTCCCTCCTAGTTTTGTTTCTTAAATTCAACATGAGATCATATAGTGATCTTTCTCTGATTGACTTATTTCACTCAATACCCTCCAGTTCCAACCACGTTGTTGCAAATGACAAGATTTCATTTTTTGATGGCTGAATAGTATTCCACTGTATATAGATAACACATCATCTATCCATTCATGTCAATGGACATCTGGGCTCTTTCCATAGTTTGGCTATTGTGGACGTTGCTGCTATAATCACTGGAGAGCAGGTGCCTCTTCAGATCACTACATTTGGGGTAAATACCTAGTAGTACAATTGCTGGGTCATAGGGTAGCTTTATTTTTAAGTTTTTGAGGAAACTCCATACTGTTTTCCAGAGTGGCTGCACTGGCTTGCATTCCCACCAACGCTGTAAGAGGGTTCCCCTTTCTCCACATCCTCACCAACATCTGTTGTTTCCTGACTTAGTTTAAGCCATTCTGACCGGTGTGAGGTTGTATCTCATTGTGGTTTTGATTTGTATTTCCCTGATGCCGAGTGAAGTGGAGCACTTTTTCACATGTCTGTTGGCCATCTGGATGTCTTCTTTGCAAAAATGTCTGTTCATGTCCTCTGCCCATTTCTGGACTGGATTATTTGTTCTTTGGGTGTCAAGTTTAATAAGTTCTTTACAGATTTTTGGATACTAACCCTTTACCTGTAAAGACATTTGCAAATAACTTTACCCATTTGTTGATTGTCTTTGGTTTTCTCAACTACTTCCCCTTTGCTGTGCAAAAGCTTTTTATCATGATGAAGTCCCAATAGTTCATTTTTGCCTTTGTTTCCCTTGCCTCTGGAGACGTGTCTAGCAAGAAGTTGCCGCGCCTGAAGTCACAGAAGTTGCTGCCTGTGTTCTCCTCTAGGATTTTGACAGGTTCCTGTCTCACATTTAAGTCTTTCATCCATTTTGAGTCTATTTTTGTCAAACACAATCCCTGATAAAGTGATGGTGCTTCCATTTTTTCTTGAAACTTCTTTAAATATAATAGATTTTACTCCCACACCTACAATCATATTTCACTTTTATCCAGTGTTTAAAGTAATATACTATTTATGTGATATGTTTTTTAAATCTACCACTTAAAAATTCTTCCAACCATTCACCTTTTTTGCTATGTAGGTTTATAAGTTTTTTTCACTGATAAATATTCTACTTTGGAAAATCTTTATACAAAAAGCCTCTTTCTATTTAGAATTCTTTCCTTGGGACAGATTCCCAGAGGTAGCATGAGTAAGCCATGAGTTAGCAAGACCTTCTTAAATTCTATTCCAAACTACCATCCAAATGGGCACCATTTTAAACTGCAACCAGCAGTATATGATGGTGCCCTTTAAAAGAAGACATAGTCTTAATCAGACTTGGTTTTACTGCTAAAAATAGGATTTTCTTGAATAGATCTTTCCATTATTCAGAGAGTCAGATCACAAAAATGTAGATCCAAGTTTTTTTTTTGTTTTTTTTTTTTTTTTAATGTTAGCATGAGCTCTCATTTCCCTCAAAGTCTTTTATTCCTTGGAGGATATAGAGTTTAAGCGTCACATATGTGTTTTTACCGTTAGAAAACAAAAATTTTAAATGTACAACTGTACAGATGACCCTAGGAAAAATCTCATGTCTTTTAGGCATTAACTTTTCAAAGACTGGAATCCCAGGAAGAGGAAACACTGAAAAACAGAAACACTGAATGTGTGGGGAAGGCTAGCATATAGTGGCAGGGGCCACAGAGAATAATTTTATGTTCTGACTGTCTAAGACATCAATACAGAATGTTCTTCCTTCTCCGGCTCATGTCCTGTAACCCATAGTGCCAGCATTAGATGCGGAGCTATAGATGGGAATCCGCTGTATCAACATGCAAGGAGGAAAGAACAGAAGAATCCCGGCCCTCAGTGTCTTTACTACAGGAACTATATTTCTAAAATCGGAATGGACAACAGTTAAAGTGAAGAAGAGGAAAAAGGCTTTTATCAAAATAAGAGGAAAAGACCCCAGGACGCGAACCAAAAGGGCCAAATGACGGTGTTGCCTTTGGTTCCCTGAACTCCTTTCAGCTCTAATTCAAGCAGCACTCCTACTACATGGAAGCCATTT